CAATATTTTTAAAGCTTTACAATAGATACTTTCTTTTCATAAAATAGCATTGTTTTAGTGAAGTGACCGAAGCATGGGTTCTAATGATCAAAGTTTTTAAAATCGACCCGGACAACGAATTGGTCAAGGGTCCGATTCCCGGGTCGAACCGAATGGACGGTTTGTTCTAATAAAATAAAAAATAAAAAATCAGCCAAATTGTTGAATGGTTCAAACGGTTCAACCGCCCGGGTCAGCGGTTTGCTGACCAAATCAATGGTTTTGGATAGAGGTGTAAAGTGGGTCGTGCTGGGCTGGCACGGTACGGTCCACGGGTGGCCCGTGCAAAGTGCGGGTCGTGATGCCCTTCCCAATGAAAAGTTTGGGGATCAGCTTGGCATGGCCCACAGCCCAAACCCGTGCAGGTCCGTGGGCCAAGCCTTGGCCCAAGCCAGGCCAAAGCTATTTTTGCCTATTTATTTAAAAAAATTGAAAAAAAACTTAAAATTTTAATTCTATATGAATTTTGAGGTATACAATTGCTTATATATACAATAATTAAATAAACTAGTATAATAAAATTGAAAACAATTGTTTATTTTATTAATATATTATATACAATATATTATTATATAATTATAATTTATATAATATGATATTATATATATAATATATATAAATAGTATATATGGGCCGTGCTGGGTCGTATGGACATGTGGGCCATAGACAGCAGGGCCCGCTTGGTCATACCAGCCTGGCCCGGCCTACGGACCTAAAACCCTAGGCCCAGCACAGCATGGACCATTGTATCGGGCCATACCGAGCCACACACAGTACAGCCCAATTTACACCTCTAATTTTAGTGGAAATAACGATTCTCGAGTAAAACGGAACACAGCATGGACCATTGTATCGGGCCATACTGAGCCACGCACAGTACAGCCCAATTTACACCTCTAATTTTAGTGAAAATAACGATTCTCGAGTAAAACGGAACCGACCGGTTCCCAATTTTTCCGGTCCGGTTTTGAAAACTATGCGGCTGATTATTTCTTTCGTTTTACTCACTCACTCCACACACACACGTACGTTCTGGTGTCTTCAATTCGGTTGGAACACATAACGCTCCCAGCTCCCATCCGTATAAACCTTATTCTCCTTCATTTCATTGGTTTAATGTCAAAAATCCTTTTTATTGGAGTATACAGTGCTCATAGAGAATATAATTGTTGTGCTTGATCCTAGCAATCGCTGTATAGCATGCTCGGGTGAAGAAGATAGATTATTAGATCGGGTCACCTGTTACCCGCCGGATCAAGTCACCCACCCGCGCTTATTAATTAATGAACCCATCAAATCGGCTCAACTATAAATTACAAAGCTTTTAAATAATAACCTATTATTATTTAAATAAATAATTATTAATTATTTTGGAAAATATTCTACTAAAATTAATAATTAATATTATTAAACAAATACCAAATTATTTACTACATTTTCAGAAAATTATTGATTAATTTTCATTGCAAAATAAATGATAAATTATTACATTTCCAGAAAATATTCTCTATTTTTATAATAATGTTACATTTTCAGAAAGTTATTTATTAAATTTATAGAAATTTATTGATTAGCTTTTTAGATAATTATTGTTAATTTTTATTGTAAAATAAAATATTAATTACTGTAATTTTAGAAATTTTTGTAATATTTTGGGAAATTTATTACAATTCCATTAGTATGGAAATTATTGAAATTTGTTTAATTTTCATAGTAAATTACTGAAAATTACTTTTGGCAAATAATAATCAAATTATTTATTGCATTTTAATGAAAATATTTTGGAAAATTGTAATTACACTAATGATGTAATTATGAGGAAAAATCTTTTACCAAATTTTCCATAAAATTATTCAATAAATAATTCTTGAAAATTTTAAACCATTCAATTATTGAATAAATTTTATTGCAATATAGTTTAAATTGGTTCAAATTATTACATTTTCAGAAAATTATGTATTACATTTTTAGACAATTATTGCTTACTTTTTATTGAAAAATAAAATATAAATCAGCGTAATTTTGGTAAATTTTGAATTATTTTTGGGGAATTTATTACATTTATATAATTTTGGAAAATTATTAAAAATTATAATTTTCAATTTAAAATACTGATTTTTTTGGCAAATGATAACCAAATTATTTATTTCATTTTCAGGAAAATATTTTGGAAAACTGTAATTACACTAATTTTGTAATTATGAGAAAATTATTTTCAGAAATTTCCAGAAAATTATCAAATAAATAATTCTTGAAAATGTTAAACCAATAAATTAAAAGTAATGTCACATAAAATGATTTAAACAAATAATTGAAACTTGGAAATTATTGATTAACTTATATTGGAAAATTAAAGATAAATTAGTGTAATTATTTAATAAGTATTTAATAAAATTGTAAAATAATATTCAATATTTTTACAAAAGTATACAAATATAATAAAATTTGCAAAGTGATTATGAAACTACATTTTCATAAAATTTTTATAAAATAACATTTTGGAAAATAATATATATTAATATACTTTTTTAAAACTTTGGACAATTTCTTTAAAACGTAGTAAATAACTATTGAATAAAAATAAATTATTCCATAACAATTTAAAAATAATTTCCAAAAAATTTTCATAATTACACAAATATAACAAATTTTCCAACATTTTCAGAAAATTCCATTTCGGAAAATAAAAGTATATAAATGTACCTTTGGAAAATTTTGGAAAGTTTCTTAAAATGTAGTAAAGAATTGTTGAAAATCATTGGAATATTTTGTAAAGTTGTAGGAAAAATTATTACATTTGATAAATTTTGGAAAATCATTGAAATTTTGTCTAATTGTAATTGTAAATTATTGAAATTTAAATATAATGTACACTATTTAATAAAAAATAAATTTCAATTTTTTTTCAAAATAACAGAAATGTAATAATTTTTCTAAAGTTTTCATAAAATTATGTTTTGGAAAATTAAAGATAATTTAGTGTACTTTTGGGAAATTTCATAAAAATGTAGTAATGCATTAAGATAAATTAGTATAATTTTTGTAAAAGTTGAAATAGGAAATTTTTGATAAATTTATATTATAAAAATAACAGTATGATTTTGGAAAATTTTGGAAGGGAAATTATTGAATAAGTTATTTTGGGGAAAGAAATATAAATTAGTCTAATCTTTTAAGTAAACTATAGAATAAAAAATTATTTAATAGCAATTCAAAAATAAGTATAAAAGATTCTTTTAATTATTATTCTTAATAATACAATAAAAAAATTTAAAAATATTAAAATACATGTGGATTGAATTTTCCTGTGCATCGCATGGGTCTAATAATCAACTCAAGTTTATATGATGAAAAAACAATTCCGCAAATCCTACAATGAAAGTGTAAAAGTAACATTATATTTGGGTGGGAGCATGATTTTCAAAACTGGACCGGAAAAACTGGAAACCGGTCATCTATTTTCCCCAAAAACAGTTTTTTTCCCTAAAACTGTTGATTTTGATCAGCAAACTGCTGAACCAGCTAGTTAACCATTCGAACCGTTCGAACCATTCAAACGATTTTGACCGTTTTTCAAATTTTTTTATTTTTTTATTTTTTTTGTCAGAACAGACCGGTCATTTGAATTGAATGGTTGGACTGTTCGAACCAATAACTGAACCCCTGACCAGTTCGATTTTAAAAACCATGGGTGGGAGTTGCCGATCGAGCTGGAACCCGAAACCAGGGTCGGTTGATTCGATTCAATAATCAATCCAGGCTAAGGGAAGAGGAGACAAATCCTAATCAACTGGTTTCAGACTTTCAGGCATTTAGTAGTTTGTGTGAATGAATGAAATATCAAATAGCGTAATTCATTCTCATTGGATTGTCTTTACATGCATTAACAGGAGACGTGAAGGCAAAAGCATCATTTTGCCATTTTGGGGCGGGGGATTGATTTGGCTTTGCTGCTAATTAACGCATGCCGAGTTGCTGACATTGACAGATTCTAATCCATACAAAATAAATAATTTTGTGCTTAATAAAAGATGAAGATAACTCATCTCGACCAGAAGCTTTAGCGGACCATCCGTCACGGGTCTGTCAATTTCTTGGCAGTGCGGCACCCCAACCTTATCCTTGCCTGCCTCGTCAATCTGTCCTTCCTTATCTTCTCTATCATATTCATATCATACCCTATAAATATACGTAGATATAGGACGTAGCAGCAGGGTGAATGCTTGCTTATCTTTTGAGTTTTTTCTAATTTCAACTCAAACAAATGGGTTTTAACCGTTCAGTCCACCCTTAGAAATCTAGCTCCATTTTAGGGGTGAAATGAATTTTGACGAAAATTGATGTCTCCCGTGAATAATAACCAATAAATACGGGAGATGTTGATAGGATGTGCGTGTGAGGCGTCAAGCGTAAGGAGCAGATACGGTCTCGGTTTATATAGGTTAATGGGAGAAATTCTCTCTCACTCCTACAGTCCTACTCCTATGATTGATTAGTTTCTCCATTTACGTGGCACTGCGAGTGTCACAGTCGGACTCTCTCTTTCTTTTTCCCACACACACAGACACCGTCGTCGTGTATATATATTTTTCCCATGAAAACCCACAAAACAACAACCAAAAAGGTACCCACTACCATTAGAATGCCGAGTCTTTTCTTTTAACAGAGTAATCTAATCTAACAATGGGACCACGGGAATAACAATTAAGCACCGACAAGAAGAATTCTCACATCACACGATCTTTCCTCAACTCGTCGTCTTCACAGGGCTGCTTGTTATTTATTAACGATAAACAAAGGATCTCTAGCGATTCCAGATCTGCTGTGACCCTCTCTCTCTCTCTCTAACTATCTCAATCAAACTTTAATGGCGATCGACGCGTTTAGTTGCTTACAGGGAAAGGCATTGAGATTTTATAGAAGGACGAATGAAAATGCTGTTGGGTCTCTCTCTTTCCATCTCTCTCGATCAGAATAAAACGATCTCAAAACAAATCAAATTGATGATATGCTCTACTGCCCCTAGTACGGTATAATTGTATATTTATTTATTTATTTTTCACAATTAAAATACAACAAGAAAACGAAGAAGGAGAAGAGAAAAGAAATAACACCTCCCCCTCCAATAACCAAAATATGTTAAAAAATGTTACCATATTGTATCTTGTATTTGCTCTCCTCAAAATTTTATTTCTTCTCCTCTTTCTTTTCCTCCGGCTTCTCTTCTTTCTTCTCTTCCTTCTTCTCTTCCTTCTTTTCTTCTTTCTTCTCTTCCTTCTTCTCTTCTTTCTTTTCCTCTTTAGCTGGCCCAACTGATACTATATCCACTTTCCCAAATTTCTTCAACTTTTTGGCAATTGCGATCGTGTCCATTTCCCCTATTACGGTTATCTGTTGAGCCTTTAGATCAGCTGCAATCGAATCAATACCTGTTCATCATTCAAAACCTACCCAATTAAGAAACCCTCCATCGAATAACCTTTATTTTTTATATGAAGGATTTAGATAAAGCTAGATTATTCCTTCTTTTTTTTGGATCTCTTATTCCTTCGGTTTTGATTAGAGATCCAATAATAATTGTTCATCACTCCTCTTGAGTACCAAAACAAATCAGACTCCGCTTATTTAATTCAAGAAGAATGCTTCCCATTAAGATTAATTGAACAAAAAATTAGAGAAATCCAAATTCAAAACTGCCCATTAAGCTAACTTAGATTCGCAAAAGAAAAGAAAAGAAAAAACGCAACCAATTTGGGAGAATTCTTTTTTTTTTCATTTTTCATTGACAGAGAATAGAGTAAAGAAGGTAAAGATATATACCGAAGATGCTAGCCACAGCTTCCATAGCTTTCTGCTTCGTCTTGGCATCGGTCATGGTCATGACCTTGAGGACTACCTTTTGCTAAAGGTTCAAAAACGAGAGGGAAAAGATGAAGGATGTGGCATTTTGGTTCTCTCGATTCATTAAATTAAACAAAGAATACCAATAAAAAGGTAAGAGAAAGGTGAAAATAGAAGAAGACATACCTGTACCATTTGCGGAATCCAGAGAATATAGTATCGTATCAGATCCAAACAGAAAATTAAAGGAAAAAGGGGATTGAACCTCTCAAACAATTTAGTTGCAAATGGCGTGAATTCTTGTGGTTCTTTAAGGGAGGGCAAGAACCGAGCAAGAGGTTTTTGGTCTCCCTGTATCCCTGTATTATATAGCTGAAAACAGCGGGAGAAGTCGAAGTCTCAGATTCAGACCTCGCTGGCCCACCACTCCACTTCCCTTCCAAAGGAGTGGAGTTATCTCGGTATTCTGTATGACCTTTTTAGATTTTCTCTCTCTCTCTCTCTCTCTCTCGTTCCGACTGGGACTGTAAGCTCGTGGTCGTGGATGGAATAACCGCTTCAAATCATGAACACCGTAATTTAACCGGGACCGAAAAAAAATCCATTGGGTTGTCAGGTCATCGATTCAACTGTGCGGTCCAATCCCAATCTTACAACGTTCATTGGATGTGCGTCCCAACATGCATGGAATATGGATTGAGAACTTAATTCTCTGTAAAGGAGGGTATCGCCATGAGAGCACACTCATAGTCATAGGATCACCCTCTTCCTCTTAGCTAAACAAATCCATTCCTGTCAAAAGAAAAAAATAAAAAATAAAAAAACAAATCCATCCTGTCTGTTAATTTCATTCATGAGAAGGATGCTCTCGGGGAAAAGCTAGCTGCGGCAAAGCTGATTCATGCGAGCACATTCAGCCGCTGTTTGCTGTTTGTAAATAATAAATTCTCTGGTGTTGACGGTAATTGTACTGTGGTCCAATCATTGGATGGGATGTTTGGCCGGTTCACGTAAAGGGTAAAATCAGCTGAGCCGACCCCAAACCCCACTCATTTACTGAAACTCAAACCGTCTAGCTCAGCCTTTTTATTTGCCTTGCTAAAAGTGCAATCACTTTGTCTAGTATTAGACAACGGCTTCTGCTGTTCGATCCCAATGTTTTTACGGAATAGAAATGCATTTAGCATAAAGAAAATCAAAAGAAACGAGCCATTCCCACGAGAACAACACACAAAAAGAGAGTGAAAAATTGATGCTCTCAAAGAACATGTTCTCTGAGAATGCGCTGTTCCCACAACATCCATGTTTAATAACGAACACATTCCCACGTGAGAGAAGGGGTGCTATTGTATAAACTCAAGCCCTATATAGCGGTCCTCATTCATTCAACCTCATTGTTGTTGCACACCCCAAATGAGAGTTGAACTCTTGTTGTGTTAAGAATTGGGGAGAGGCGGCATGAGAACGAGTAGCAGGTCAACAACAACCGTTGAGTCTCGGTTGTCAATCATCATTGGTTTCATATGTTTAATATGTTAAAAAGTGTAAGCCTTTAGCTCCAATCAGAATGATATATCTTATGATATTTAATGCAAATGAATAAAGTATATATTTGATTCATGTTATTATGGTGTTTTTCTATGTAATACCCTTAAACTGGATACATCTGAGACTCGTGTTAGTTGAGAATTTTCACAGCCGTTGGATAGATCTGGGGAGATTTATCCTGTCAAGGCTGACATTGATGTGCCGCTAAGTTGGTTGGGGTGGCTTGTCTCAGCTGCCAGGGTGAGACCTGAGGTACATGCAGTGTGGGTATTCTTGAAACCCCGAATCAGACCAGAATGCTAGGGTGAGACTTGAGGTATATTATGGTTTCAAAATGTTTGCAAAAGGTTTTAATTCCCGGGATTCATGTGAGTAGAGAGAGCAACACTGTTCCTTGCAGCCGAGGGAGAGGTCCTCTCTTGTCGGGTAGTGTTTGATCATTATGGGCTGAGAGGTTAAGTGTAAGACCATTGAAGGTAGTACCTGATGGACTAATCTTACATTTGCCCATAGTCCCTAGGTTTTTATAAGGTGGCTTGGCTCAGGGATCACTTAGTGTAAGTGTTGGGCCCATTAAGAGCCCATGGTGATGGGCCCAAGGGGTTCATTGCCCATAACAGTGAATTCGGCCAGGCCTTGTAATAGAGGCTAGGCTGAACCCATGTGACTGATGTGTAGATTAATGTTTGGGTCCCACGCCATACAAGGAAACCCAACTGGGCAGCAGATTGGAAGGTAAGTAAGCACATGGACTTAATGGGCCTAAAACCCAATTCGAACTAGTCTAATTTTATTAGTTAAAGAGAGGGGCGGATCTGGGATTGGGATCAACAAATAGGATAGGGAGTTACCCCTATCCACTCAGAGAGTCCAGATTCAAATACAAATTTGGATTTGGAAACTCCTAATAAGATTATGAGGGCTGATCTAATCTTCCGATAAGATAAGGGCTTATCCTTATCTCTTAAAGAGAACTCCTGATCCAAATACAGATTTGGATTAGGAAACTCCTAATTAGATTAAGAGCTCTCTTTTGGGCTATAAAAGGAGGAGGGGGTGAACCATTCTACACAACAACATCAGATCAGATTTCAGATCACAGAAAGAGAGAAGATAGCCACAGTAAAACTGCACCATCTTCTGCTCTTGCACCCTCCTCCTGTTGCCGCCATTGCCAGTTCGATCTCCATCGTAGGAGCGATCAAGAAGTATTCTTGATATCAGCCTTTGGAGAAAGGCTGATATGAAGTCGTGCTCACACTCCATCCATCAAATTCTTGCGGAAGGATTCGGTTTTTGTGAAGAACCTGCTAATTCTGCTCTACCCTACGTTGTGTCATCTTCAGTGGGAGTAGTCTTTGGAGTTTCCTTGGGTGTGAACACCTTCGTTGGGAGTTACTACTACTCCGTATCAGGTACATCCATCTCCTACCTTTTGGTTTCAGATCTGGTTCGGTTCTTGGTTCAAGATTGATCATTGAAAATGCATATTTTCTAAAACAGGGAATGTGATTCCCAAATGAGAGAGAGAGAAATTTTTGAAATTTCGCCCAACCTACCTGCAAGGTTTGGCCATCCATATGATGAATCTTTCATCCCTTCACAATAGCCGTTGAGTATCGACTATCGGCCATCAATAGGTCATCAACAGCCATTGTCGTTGCTCAACCCATCATAAAGATCCGATCTTGGTTTCCTCCTCCACCTCAAAGAATTTTTATGCATGGGGATGATTTCAACCCGATATTAGGAATGAAGGTCACTTACCTTCCAATACTTCTCTTCTACGTCGTATTCCATGACCCCTCTCTACTCTCCTCCATTACCGCCACCCATGAAGCACCACAGTCCGTTGGGAGTAGCAATGATGGCCCTTGGGTTGGCACTAGGGAAGGGCCACACCTCCTATAGATTGGACCAAGACCCAAGAGTCGGGTTGTAGCACTCAGCATCTGATTTGAATCGCCCTTGGCTATCGGTGACAATATATACTCTCTAACCACCCAGAACCTGTTGTTGCCATCGCAAGACAATCCTTGACACACATCCCACTCCTTCACTGTAGAGTGTTCTTCTATATGTTGTGTCCTCTTGCCATGTGACACATGCTTTTTCTAGTTAATTTTAGGCTTAATGGAGATGAATTTGCAGAACTAGTGTTAAAGAAATAATTTCATTATTCAAACATTATTTTTCTTTATGTAGAGTAAAAATCTATTCTCCAAGAACAATTTGCCAGACACCTCTATTATTCTCCGTGAAAACATTGCCAAACAATTGTACGAGAGATCAGCTTCAATCAGAATAAGTCCATATTCACACCGTACGAACAACCTCCAATTAAACACATAATAAGTACGGAAATATTCCCAATACAGGTTATAAAGGCCGGGCGTTGCCTTATCGAAACTGAACTCAGTGTATGGCTATCGGTGCGTCCTCGGTCGGTGGTGTTGTTTCGGCCTTTTGGGTTGTGATTGTTTTTTGTTTGTCAAAATGTGATGTGAGGTACTTTCGTGGCTCATCAATTAACAAGGAGCCGCGCAGGTTATCTTTGCTTTGCTCATTAATTGCGGTGGTGGCGGTGGGAATTTGTCCCGAGTCTGATGGCCTCTAGCCTTGAAGGCCATGTAACTGGGGTACAATGTCACGTAAAGGACTGACATGAAGATTCATTTATGGGGATTGGAATCTGCTCCTCACCGAGCGCGTCTCACACAGACCGAGAAGATCGGGACACATAAATACCTCCGAACTCGCATCTTGCAGATCCGCTTCAGTTACTGCAAGGCCCGTTGTTCGAACAGCCTTTACAGCCTTGCAAGATATTCCTAATGCAAGGCTGTCATGGTTGTTTGAACAGATTTTGAGTGACTGAATCCCATTTCTTTGTGATTTGGGGATCTTTCCACCCTTCTTTTATATAGACCCTTTAATAAATAATACCATTGTGTCATTCACGAGTTCCATCACAACTCACGTCCCTTAGGCTCAGTTTGGAAGGAGTATAATATAAATATATACAATGCAAATACATACAACATAATACAATATAATAAAAAATACAAGATTTTTCACTCTATATATTTGCATTTGTACTCCTTCCAACTGAGCCTTATAAGTAGGAGTTCACATCTGCGCCCCATGACGCCCAACAACACATCTGCACCTTGTATTAGGAACATCTCCCAATGATGTCTCATCATCTCCATTACTTGTTATGGGGAGATGTTCCCAATACAATGTGGGAATGTGCTATGGGGCGCAAATGTGAACTCTATATGAAAATGCCAAAATTAATGGGAGTCTAGCATTTACAGTCTAATTCTGCATCCAAATTGAATTTGGTCTAAACTCTCTCTCTCTCTCTCCCTCTCTCATTTCTTTCTTCTCTCCATTCTCACCATTCACCTCCCTTCCTCACACCACCACTGCAACGAAACCAAAGCAAATTTGCTAATGACCGCCCAAGCCTCCATTGCTATTCCTCTCTTCTTATTCTTCTTCTTCCTTCTTTTCCCCTTCTTCCACTCACCCACCTTGCAACCGTAAAAAGTTGGGCACTATAGATGTAATACCCAAAAAAAAAACCCCACTAAGATTAATAATGGGAGAGTGGGTTGTTAGACAGTTATGCCCTTAACTCCAATTAGATTGATGTACCTTTTGACATTTATTGTAAATGAATAAAGTACATAATTGATTCATGTCTTTGTCGTCTGTTTTTGTGTAATACCCTTAAACTTGACACTTATGAGACCCATGCTAGTTTAGAATATTCACAGCCGTTGGAAAGATTTGGGGAGATTTATCCTGCCAAGGCTGACACTGATGTCTCGCCAAGTTGGTTGGGGTGGCTTGTCTCAACTACCGAGATGAAACCTGAGGTACATGCAGTGTGCATTTTTTTGAAACCTTGAACCAAACCAAATTCCAATATTGCCCTGGACCTTGGAGATAGATGGGCAAAACTGGAATGTTACACCTGACCCCTAGACTCGATTATGGTACTGCACTAGGTGTCGGATTGGCCCTCTTTGATATACCAATCAGTGAGATCCGTAGATGGGGTCAAAACCTGGGTATGTTGGGACAGTTCGAGAATTCACCTATGTGGGTGATCATAGTGACAGGATCAGCCCCTTTGTCGGACAAAGTGAATGATCAGGGAATGCACTCTCTTTGATGGAAACCTAAACTACCGACAATTGATTTCAAACGTTGAGATTTGTTTTGCAAAATATATTTATATAGAGATATACATACATACATACACACACACACACACACATATATATATATATATATATATATATATTATTGTTTCAAAATGTTTGCAAAAGGTTTTAATTCCCGGGATCCATGTGAG